AATAATAGTAAATATATCAATGATTTAGAATTTAAATCATAGCTATAATAATATATTTTTTAAAGTTTTTTAAAAATATAATAAAATCTTTGAGAGCCTTTATTTTTTACTTTTAAATATTTAGAAACATTAAACTTAAGTGTAACAAAACACATTCTAGCTTAGATGGTCTACAACTAAACTAGATGTCTAAGAGATTAGATGTTCACCCCTCCCTCCCCTTTGGATAAAAATTTTTTAAAACAAATTTCCAAAATTATAATAATAGTAATTGGTTCGACCAGTCCGATCGGCCGATTCCTACCAAATCACACCGATTCAGCCTGGTTCAATGCATATCACGGTATAGAGAACTGAACCGGACCGGTCAGATCACTGGTTCGTTGCTTCATGGTCTGAACAGACTTGTATGGTCCGGTTTTTAAAACTATGGTTGAGAGTCCCAACCTAGTGTACGAACCGGATCAATGTATATTACAGTCTAGAGAACTGAACCGGACCGGTTAGCCCACCGATTCGTTGGGTCATGGTTTGAACCAACCGGTCTAGTTCGATTTTTAAAACTATGGTTGAGAGTCCCAACCTAATTTAATTATGAAGAAAGTAAATTTCATAATATTCTTTATTACATGATTTTTTTCATATATAATTATTAGTTTTAAGATATTATTTTTGTGGTCTTTCGTTCAAAAAAAAGATATTATTTTTGTGGTCCTTGATATTTGAAAAAAATTTGAGAATTTTTTTAAAACTATAATGTGCACATGTACAATGCCACATTACCGCGGTGCGAAGTCCTTTTTTATTACTTTTGTCTATGTTTTGCAAGATGATTTGTGAGTGAAAGGCCATTAGAGAGCTTAAATAAGCGCAGTAGGTGACTGCACAGCGAGGGTTTCGGACTGCGTCGTTGAAGTATCCAGACACCGCTGCTTGTTCGTCGCCGGAAATACCGATCATCGGAAAATGCCTTGCCTGAACCTGTCGACGAATGTCAACCTGGAAGGCGTTGACATCTCCTCCATTCTCAAAGAAGCCACTTCGGTCGTCGCGAAGCACACTGGCAAACCTGAAAGCGTACGATCGTTCCCTCTATCCCTCATTGTTCTATTCCTTAATGATTGTTTTAATTCAACTGTAATTTCTGTTGTGGTTTAGCTTGATTGATATCCTTTTGCTATACTTCCTTGTGAATAAGATTCACTGTGCCAAATGGAAGAAGAGGAATAACGAAATCAGAGAGGTTATGAGATATGCTCTTGATTGAATTGAATTGAGGGCCGTTCCATGGTGATTAATACCTTCCGATCTACAATGTCACGGATAATCCTTGATGATTTAAGTGGGGTTTTTTAGGTGAATTTTGCTAGTGTAAATCTGGTATAGAAACTTTCTTCAGAGAATCTAGTAGTACCATGGACGCAGTTAGGTTTGAAGTGTTTAAGATGTACCCTCTATTATGCTTGCAAACACATTTATTTATTACTAATCATGAATCAACAGTCAACACTTCTTTCAGGCATTTTGTTGTAGTTGTTTGGATGTCAAATATACGCTTATCATTATGTTGTTTTGTATTCTTGAGTCAATTTATGCTTAAACTTTTGTGCTCTTATAGTGTGAAATGTATTTGAATGTATGGTGCGGAGTATTTATAAGTGATGGTAGTTGGGTAGGCATTTTGGACTAGGTGGTAGTTTTCTCACTTGTTGTGTGTTTTATATGCTTGGTGCTTTCTGTTTGTTGTGCTTTTCCCTTTATTAATATTAGTTTGTTCTTTGCTTTTTTGTGCTCTGTGCTTTCTTTGTTTTATGTGTCTTCAATCAGCTTGTGCTATATGTGTGTTCTGTGTTTGATCCAAAGGTTTCATGGACACAGCCTCCCTACTTTTGAGTAGGGTAAGGTTTGCGTACACATACCCTCCCTAGACCATAATTGGGTTTTTGACATTTTGTTGTATTTATAATTGATGGTGACTTGCATCTCCTACTCAATTTAATTGGCTGGTGGTTGTAGTGGTATATTCGGTGTTTGCTATGAATTGAATCCTTCTCTCTGACACCCAAAGTGATTAGAGCTAAATGTTGCTGTTGTTGTGCAGTATGTGATGATTGTGTTGAAAGGATCTGTGCCTCTGTCTTTTGGAGGGACAGAGGATCCAGCAGCTTATGGTGAGTTGGTATCGATTGGGGGATTGAATGCTCAAGTTAACAAGGATCTAAGTGCTGCTATTGCTAACATTCTTGAAACAAAGCTGAGAATTCCCAAGAGTCGCTATTTCCTGAAATTCTATGATTCCAAGGCAAGTTTTGTCATTTCTCCAAGTGGTTTGAAGAGCAGACCTTCCTCCCAACTCATTTGCACCTTTTTTTCCCTGGTTGTTTAGGCCCATCAATGTCAAGAATATGCACAATGCCTTCATGCTTTACACCAGCACTAGTAGATGATAATGTAATACAGGCTTTCACTCACTGCTCATAAGCACAAGAAACAATTTCAATAGTTTTTATAATCTGTATATCTTATTAGCTTCTGAGACTAGTGGATTTCTTCTCTTTTGCTTCTTTTCTTTTTTTTTTTTTTTGGAGTATTCCCAACGAAGCATGAACCTTGAATATCATGATCCTGATTATTATCTCTGTTTTGCAGGGATGTAACTTTGGATGGAACGGATCCGTCTTCTAGTTGTTCACCACTTCCATGTGTGGAGTAGCTGTGCCCAAACCTTTGATGAATTATGATGGATATTACCCATCTTGTGCCTCTGGCTTCTTGTGGGTAGACTTGAAACTTCTTTTGAATAAGACTTGACATTGTCTATGTAGTTGCTGACTTGCTGTGTGGATTTATGATCTGTGTTTCATAATCAAAGGTTCAAGCATAACCCTATGATCGTGCATGTTCTTGCCATCTATTCCCCCCTCCCCGTTCTAGTCCTTAGGATCATACAAACATATACATATACACTCTATCTCTCTATCTATATCCCGTCCCTCCCTTCCGTGGTTGAGAAACAGTTTACATGACCGTACCGGAAGCGGTAGCTGGCTGATAGCCCGATTCCGGTCCACCGGACTCTCTCACCATGCCAATCTCACTCGCTTGGGATGGGTCCTACACGTTTGCCTGCACTGATGTAGGGTGGGGTTTGTGATTTTTTCCAACCAAGACATCCCTTGTCATGCTACCCCGCAATTGGTGACAAACGTTAAAAAAAAAGGCAAGGGAAGATTTATCACATCTCCTTTATCAAATTTTGAAAAGAAGACATGCAATCTCCATCCATAACCATTACTCGTTCACTTAGGGTCTGCCCTCCATAACTAGTACTCATTCATTTAGTGCTCATTTGGTGAACAAATGAGATATACTCTCTTTATGTTGTTTGGTAAAGCTTAAACAAGTCTTGAATTTGATATTTTTAGATATCAAAATCCCCCCTGAATGAGAGAGTTTTTACCCAAATTTGGGATATGTCAATTTGGGTGTTTGGTATTTCCTTAGCTGCCAAAACTGCCCCCCCCCCCCCACCCACTAGCTTTCACCATCACGATTAACGGTAAGTTTTATCACCCTAAAAAGAAACATTCATCATAGAACGCACATCACCAAGCTAAACATCAAACCCAACACCTCAGGTAGACCACAAGATGGCTACACCCTTCCAACACACCATCTGGAACTACAAGCAAACATAATCATCCAACTCAAGTTTAATTTTACAGATCACGGCTGCTACATCAGAGGTTTGATGGTCAAAGTAGACAGCGTCACTTATTTTTCAGATGTGAAAAATGGTGCCGATCATTTCCAGCCTCGGAGCTTTCATCCTCCTCCATGTGCCTCTTCTTTGACCGCTCATCCATCTCTCTACCCTTTCAAGAGTACAATATTCTCTGCGAGATCTGCTTTGAAAAATCACAAGCTAAGAAAAGGTTTTGAGTGGTCTTCCAACTCCTCCCAACATAAACCACAACTAGGGTCCATGTCGTCAATGAAGAGAAGGTTGGCTTTAGTAGGCAACCATCCCTTAAAAGCCAATGATGTGGTGAAGGACAGCCTTGGAGGTATATAAGGCTGATGGTGCCAAATAAACTACATCCAAGGCTTTTGAATGTTGCTCTAAGTGCCTCTAACCCTTTAAGATATCATACACTCTGCGAGTGTCTTTGTCACATGGGGATATCATACCTTGCACCACCATATATACCATGTCGATCCTCCCAATCTGAGAAGAAGATGATCTCTAATACCAGCAAGCCTTCACCATCATTGCCCACTTGTGGCCGACCACCTCTTATCGGTTGCCATTGTCTATCACTAGCAAGAATTCTTTCGGATCTATCCTAACCATATCAAGTTATCAACCTTAGCTTCAAGAACTCGACAAACTGCCCTCAGCTTACTTTTTTTATTCTTTTTTTTTTTTGGAAATGAGTTTAAAATGTCAAACCCAATTTTTTTGATTTTTTTTAACCACTCGGTCGAACCCAAATTTCTATGGAGCCTCTAAGAGGAAAGTACGCCAGGTGGGTTGGTGAATTTTCTACTCCTTCCGTCCTTGAAAACATGAGAGATTTTGATTTTTAAGAGAGTGTGTTTTGGTGTTGAGTTCCCAAGAATATCTTTGGATGTGATGGACAAAAATAGGATTTGATGGGTAATTAATAGTGAATAAATGTGATGTGATATGTATGTTAAGAACTAACATGGATAAAAGTGACTTTTAAATAGAAATGAGAAAACCTATTTTTGGAGTTCATTAAAAAAAGAGAAGTTTTCAGGGACGAAGAGAATACATCTTATCTCCAAATGACAAGGTACTTTGAAGTCTTTAGCTGCACACAACGGTAGTTCTAACTAGGGGAAGATCTATTTTGAACGGGTGCCAGAATCGGCACTGATGATTCTAGAACCACACTAGAAACTATGTCACAGGGGAGCGAGTAAAGGAACTCGACCGAGATCGGAGGTAGAGGGTCGGTTTTAGTTAGCCAAGAATGGGTATCAGAACCGCGAGTCTGGAACGTATTTAAAAAACAAAAATGCGAAGGGTACACCAAATGGTGTACCTTGCTCCATTCCCACCATACAAAAACAAGAGAGAAAAATTTAAAATAAAAAAAGAAATTGAGGATGAAGATGCATGGTGTACAAGTGGAGTAGACCATTTGATGTACCCCTAGCATTTCTTTTAAAAACTACTCCATACTCTGTAATTGTTTTGTTTTTGAAAAATGGTTGTTGGTGGGAACGGTTGTCAAGCAAACGACTATATAGTTCTTTCATGCAACCACTAGGAAATGCTGAGTGGTAATTTGTTTTTCTATAAATATCCATATGGAGAAAAGACTAAAATATGAGTAAAATATTGAAAATATACCAAAATAGGAGTTTCATATTTCTATTTCTGAAATAAGAGTTAAAATGCATATATTATCAATCATGACCATGTACGTTGCGTAAAATGCATATGCACAGTGCTACATTACCACAGTGCAAACTTTTATTTTGAGAATAAAAACAAGGAACTCCTATTTTGGCACTTTATCTATGTTTTAGTTCTATTTAGGGTGATTTCTTTATCCTTATAATTTTTTTAAAAGTCACAGGATATTGCATGTTGTTCGAGTAGAGAACTTGTTTTAGGGATGAAGAGAGTATAATATTAATATTCTCTCTGTCCCATATCTTTGTTCCCATTTAATTTTCATGATTTCGATTGACCCGTGAACATTAGAAATTGCACTGTTTTATTGTGAATTCTTCAAAAATTGTACGGTTTATCCTGGAACATTAAAAAGTGCACCAAGTACGCTGAACAATTTGCAACATTGCACCGTTTGTCCTAAAATGCTAGATAGGCGGTGTGTTTCTCCCACGCATGGAAATTGCAAGCATGATTCATCTGGGCCTTGGGAATTCTTCAAAGTACCCTCTCCCAAAATTATCTTCTTTATCTAACCCAACCCTAGAAATTGTCCTTGTTCATCAATCGATCTAGATCTTCGACCATGGAATCTTCATTGTCGAGTTGCAATCGCCGTGAGAAGAAGGCTTTAACGTACAAGGAGACAATGTGAGGCTATCTCTGATGGTGAAGCCTGACTTAGATCTACGCTGCGGTACAATCATGTATGTTGCGTGCCTCAATCAATTAAAAAACTGTGTAATTCACATTGTGATTGACCATGAGAAATAATCCAATACCATCTCCCCTATATGTATATATATGCTGCAACAACTTAATTGGATGTCTTGAATATTATATGGCCAAGTGTCTTGTACTCAAAATAATGCAAGTGTGCAATGTTTTACATTGTTCTGGGGTATTTTGTGCATTTTTTAATGTTCATGGGTAAATTATGTAATTTTTGAAGAATTCGGATGTAAACGGTGCACTTTTTAATGTTTAGTGGTAAAACATGCAATTTTCGAATAATTCGGAGGTAAACAATGCACTTTTCTCTAAAATATTTGTTACATGCTAATGACTGATAAAATTGCCAAAATAAGAACATAGTCAACATACCACTTACAATATCATAATAAATGTCGGTGGGTGTTGTACACAAAGAATGTCCAGAGTGTTATTTATCTTCTCTCAAATGATGTCCGTCCGTTTCTAAGGAGCTCTCAAGAAAAAGGTTCATTCTTTTTTTTTGTTATGTTGGGATAAACGTACGCGGAAACAACACACACAATCACGAATCAATTTTAGAAAATAAAAAACACAAGATTTAACGTGATTCGGTCGCCAACTGCAACCTACATCCACACAGGGCAACTAGGAAGATTTTTATCTCTTGTTGCACACAATTACAAGCACATTAAAATCTCTTAAATAGAGATAATTAAGGAGACAATGATTAAGCTAAAACATGAGATAGCTTCTAGGTGGTTTCTTGCCAATTTCGAGTTAGCTTCCACCTAGCTTCCTGGCTTCACACTCAACATGTTATGAAGAAAGAATTGGATAATATATAAATAATGTGTATGAGAGGAAGGTTGGTGGGCAAAATGGTGTGCAAGTAGCATTACCCTTTTCATTACACTCCTTAATTAATTGATGAAGAATTGAATTCAATTCAATTTTTTTTTAGAGGGGGTGGGGAGAAACCCAAAAAATTAGTTTCTTTGTTATGACTTTTTTGGACTAGAAATAATTGAAATGGCATGGGAATTGAATCAATGTACCTTCTTGAATAGCAAAACCGTTCCTTTAATTACACAATTTTGATATTAATGAGAATTTATCTGATTGAAATTTTTGGATGGTCTAATTTAGACCGTTTAGATTTTACCCAAACCCCAACTTTTTGGTGTAATACATTTGCAATTATACATGGTGAATGCTGCCCCGCCTCGCACGGAATGGTTTGAATTCAAACGCGGGTGGCGGCAGAAGAGGGAGCCGCCGCCGCCGCGGTTGCGGCAGAGCCGGTCAACATGGAGATGATCCCGCCGCCGGCAGGAGCCTGTTCGTCGAAGTAGAAATCTTCCGGAACGCGAAAAGCGGCGTGGACGCAAACAACGGCGACGCTCACGAACAATCCGGAGACCAAGACGGATCCGACGCTGGTGAGGAAGACGACGAACAGAGTAGACACGACGAGGCCGGCGAGGATTTCGATATCGGAGAACTGGCGGCCGAAGAGGACGAGAGGCTGATCCGCCGGGCGGAAGACGTAGAGGAATAGCCAGCCGGCGAGGAGTCCGGCGAGGAGGAACAGGGTGAACGGATTGCTCAGGAGCGAGATCCCGATCACGGCGGCGGCGAGAATGTGGTAATTCGTCCGGAAATAGGCGTAATTTTTGCGGATGCGGAGGGTGGCATCCGAGAAGGAATCCGGCTTGGAGATGGCGGATCGGGCCACGAGCTCCGGCCATGGGCGGCGGTGGGAAAGGCCATTCCGTACGTTATCTGTGATTTGATTAACGAAGTTGCGGAAAGCGGGGGTGGGGACGAAGACCGTGCCGCCGCCAGAGGAGGCCACGGCGGCGGTGGGGGTCGATTGGCGGGGGGTAACCGTAGGCGTCGGCGTAGCCATTGCTTGATCGAACCTACGGTTCTGAAACTCTGTAAAAGAAATGGATACAATAATTCGTCATTTTATATACGGACAAGAGAGGATCTCTACCATTCATTCTTCAGCGTCTATGAACAATAGCATTTGTCGTTCTTTGGAGTTTGTACAAGTATCATATTAGTCTTACACAATGGATTAAATTAGTGATTGATTTTAAATTTGTTAATTTAAAACTTCTCAGATGTTAAACTAAATATTACCCTTCCTCCCCAAATATTTATCTAGTTTTGATTTTGTTAGTAAATCATTTTCAACATTTGACTTATGCTTAAATAAAATATATATTGTATATTAATTAGATAAAATAATATTCTATATATATATATATATAGACACACACACACACACATATATATATATATATTGTGTGTGTGTGTTTGCACTTGACTATTTTTCTAATACGAAGTACAATAATATACTCCCTCTGTCCCCCAATTTGATTACAAATTGGAGTTCATGAGGAAAAAAATCACTTTTTGAAATTATTTTTTTTATAAATCGGTATATTGATAAAAAAAATAAAAATTACATATTAAAAAACTACGTCAAAAGTTCTACAAATCAAGAGGTGACAAGAATATTTTATTTTATCAAATACTTAATGAAATCGCGTAAACAAACAAAAATTAATGAGAGGAGAGAAAAGTGGGAGTATTTATTTTGGTACAAGTTCAATATATAAAATTGAATGAAAGAAATACTTGAATTTTTCCTATATAATATTCGAAGTATGAGCTAATTTATTCTTATCAAATATGACATGCACACATGCATGTTGCCTCTCTCGTTTGTGTAAGATGCATGAAGAGAATACTACAATGCAGATAATGTGCACACACTACACTTTAAAATAGGAGGGAGGAGGGACAGTTGGGTATATATATTGTTGGAGGCCCCCAACGTTTGTTTTTCTCCTCACTAGATAGAATGCAAAACAAAACTACGTGTTTGTACACCAATTTCAACATTAATATTCATTTTTAAAGTGCAAGGTACATAACTTACAAATTGCTAGAGAAGCCAGAGAACGGCAGCCTTGGGTGTATTAGAGGGTATACAACTATGTGATAGATCTACCACCACGGGCAGAGCCAACCGTGCACCGGGATAGCAACGGGAGTTTGACATGCATTAATCTTTATTCACTTTTATGGAGTATTTAATTGTAATCTAGTTTTTAATATGTGAGCAAAACTATAAGCTTCTTCTTTTACGATTCTTTACCTTGTCGCTTTTCTTGAACCGTCAGAATAGAAAACGTAGTCTAATTAGGATTTGGGTTTCTTTAAAAGCTATAAATATAGTTATATCCTTTTGAAATGAAGAATAAAACCCATAAAACATAAATTCCCTTGTCTTTGCGCTTGGCATCCCTGCTGGCGATCTCTTCTTCTTCTCGTCACAAACTTTAACGAGCGTGAAAACACTTCAAATCTTCTCTATCCGATACAGGACCTATCACTAATGCTTTCATCTTGTATCGGATAAAAAAGACTTGTAGCGCCTTCGGGCTCGCTTTCATCTTGTATCGGATAAAAAAGACTTGTAGTGCCTTCGGGCTCGTTAGAGTCTTTGACGAGAGGAAGAAAAGATCACTTACTGGAATGTCAACACAGAGGCAAGAAGGACTTTAGGTTTAGGGTTTTTATTATTCTCTATCTCCAAATAATAAAATTATATCTATAGCCTTTAAAAAAGCACAAATCTTAATTAGACTAGGTTTTCTATTCTAACGGTTCAAGAAAAGCGACAATGTAAAGAACCGTAAAGAAACCTCTCGTAGGAGCTTATTATTTCGCTCACCTATTAAAAAATTATACTACAATTAAATAAAAATGAATAAAGATTAATGCGTCAAACTCTCATTGTCATCCCGGTGCACGTCGCATCTTCTCAATCCGGCTCACAGTTGGCTCTTCCCGTGGTGGTAGGTCCATAACAAACTATGGAACAGACATGGAGAAATACACGTGTTTCTCTTCACAGATATGAACAACATCATGTTTTGGACCACCAATACTCTTGTTGGTCTGGGCACATTCTGGCAATAAGCATTCTACGACAACACAAACCCTCAACGAGAAACACCTGGCTTTAGGGGTTTTGTGAAAGGGCACTACAATCTTAAACTTTCTGGATTCAGCCGCAGCAGCATCATCATCAACACCTTCGCCGAGCTCGACCATATCAAGATATGCAAACTGGGTTAACATCTGTTCTACGCTCATTTTTACCCAAAGCTGATTTTCGGGCGATGCGTTGTGAATAGTGATTGCAAAAGAAACACCAACGGGTAGGCCCGGAACGAATGGAAGGGGATTCTGAAAGTCAGTGCCTCCAAGATCATCCATTAGGGCCTCAATACATTTGAGCTTTCCACGTGGTGGTAAATCTAATCGTCTCGGTTTGAATTCCCTGAGTGGCATTAGAAGCAAGAACGGATTTGGATCCGTTGAAATGGATCCATTCAAACATGCATAAAGCTCAGTGACAAACCTGGAAAGTGAAACGGATTGATCTTCATGAAGAAGTTGTTGTGCCCCGGAGCGTAATTTATCCAAATCATCATTGTTGTGATGGCAGCAAGCTCCTACAGTACACAATTTTGCAGTATCCATCACAAGCTTAAACTCCATGATAAGAAATTCGTCCTCTTTCGTCAAACCTATAAATCTGTACCTCATTTCTTTTAGGATTGTATCGAGTTTATCAAACAACAGTTGCCAGTCTCCTGTTTGGTAGGTGTACAACTCTTTGGGGAACATGCAACGTACCCACATTCTTCCAATCAGTTCTATGGCATCCAAAAAATATGATATGAAAATCAATTCACCCCTACATTGAGAGTTACTGTCCAGTCTTCTCAACTCTGCCTTCAAGCATCTGCATGTGTATGAATAAATAACAAAACTTAAATATATGTAGAATTAGTCCATAAAGTTTACGACACCAACAAAACATACAGGGGATATAAAATATGGAGGATATGGGTAAATAAAAGATAGGCTCAAACACAATCAAATTATTACGGAGTATGATATTTATTTGAACTCTTTATAATTACGTAGTATCTATTCTTACATTTATTCCAATAAAGACTGCATAATTTGCGTGCCCCCAAGAAATTTAAAAACATTTAGATCATATTTCATTTTCTTGTGAATTTTCCTAATGAAGGGAAAACACAAGAGAATAACTTAAGCATCTTGGTTTTCTTTCTCGAGATCAAAACGTACCCTAAAATTCTAGATGCCCTGTCCATCAATCCGAGTTCTAGCAATGGCCAAATTTCGTTGACCTTCTGAAGAACAGCTGTTAGAGACTCTATCCTCTCTAAGTCAAAAATCTTCTCAGAAGAGCCCTCATCAATAGCTTTATGAATCAAGTATGCATCACCTTGCTTAACATGGAAAGCACACTCTTCCCCATTGAAGAACTCTGCAGCAGAAGCAAATGTGAATCTGCTGCAAATAGAAAGATAAGTGAGAAGGTTATTCTGGTCCATTACATCAGTCAAGCCATGTGATATTCTCCCCATTATTGTGACTGCATAAGAAAATATAATTGGTTGAATGCTGCAGATTTGCTTTTCTAGTGAGACTGGAGCTGAGATTGCCAACACCAACCATGAAGATGCTTTTGCATTGTCAAAGCTCCACTTCCCTCCAAAAAAAGGCTGTATCTGGTGAAATGAGAAGCCACTGTTAAAAATCTTCCTGATAAGATAATGCTATAGCATGTGCCTTGTAGTGTGTGTGTGTGTGTAGAGAGAGAGTCCTCCAATATGTGAATAAAGTAGGCAAAAGCAAATAAATCTTTGGCAATAATATGAAACTTGATTACCAAATGAGAGACCTCGTGCATCATGTTCACTACAAACTTCCCATGCTTTTTACCAACATTAAACAAAGTAGAAAAAACATCGGCTTCATCCTGAAATAAATAACGAGAGAAGTTCCATCAACAAGCATGCACAAGCATGTGTAATAAAAATCAGTTTTTAAATATAAAATACCTGTGGATAGAGTTCTAAGTTTTTTATAAGGCCATCAATAGATGTTCTGAACAAAGCTAAAGTCCGAAGTTTTGTTATCTTAAGTATTCTCCTCACTGCACATCTTATCAAACCGTCACTATCCATGAGAGTGCTGATGAACTGCAGAGTAACATGACCACAAAAGTAATTCTTATAGGAACTTCTTTTAAACCAAGCATAATCCAGTGCCATGTGGCAAATAAAATCATCAAAGGGATAAAACATACAGAGTACTTATGTTACATCTATCCATCAAATAAGAAGTCCATCTCAGTACAAGACTATATCACTATATGGTGCATGTTCATATTATCATATCAATGGCTAATTAGCATTTAGGAATATTTTTAAACACCTCAAATGCAAAACAACTTCCAGTCCAGGCGCTAGGTCTCCCTTTTTGGCCAAATATTAATCAGTCCAAGTCTGCCTAGGTGCTAGGTCTTAGTCTACCACCTAGTGTTTATTAGAACACTGGGTAGTCTCTATGTAATCTTGCTAAGTGATTTTACATCATAGATGTAATAGAGATCTTACCAACTTTAAATATGTTTCTTGCACCTTTAAGCAATCAAACATTGCCATGCTATGCATCGCCTCTAAAGCTTGCAACCTAACATCCAATGAATCATCATTAAGTACATCCACCAAAATCTTTACAGCTTCACCCGCAAAATCAGCAGAGAGGATGGTCAATCTCTTTAAGGCACGACAGGCTGAACTACGTACCTTCATATTTACAGGGATGACAACATAAGGAAATACAAAGAGAAGTCTTTCGGAAAGTTACATAAAGGGATCAGAAATCAATGGACAAACAGGTAGCATTTAATCTCCATGCCTATGAACCCCTGAAACATGACCATATAATTGAATTTTGCTATATCGAATTTTGCAAGAGGTAGCTACAATAACCTATTAGTGCAAATGTACTACCTCATAGAATTCATCCTCCAACCCATTCACAAAAGCAAAAGCAGCACTTGATGCCGGTAGTTTAAGGCATTTGGCGGTGAACTGGCCAGGAAAATTCTTTTCTTTCATGGCTGGTGAGGCTTTCTTTGATAGGGTCAGCAAAAGAATATCTGTTGAAACCGTGTCAACATTCTCAAGAGAATGAAAAGCTTGCACTCTTACCTTGACACTCATGTCCCTGACCATCGAACAGAGCTGCAAGCAAATCATGCACCATAACAATTTAAGAGCGTGAAAACAACTTTATGTTTACCATTGATTATTTTACTTTAAAAATAAACATGTGGGAGAGAAGACAAATAATAAGACTAAACAAATTCCAGAGGTGAGGGTTGAAGATAACATTTGATTGTAAATATCAGGTATCTAAATTGAATACAAAGTGTAGTGAATAAGCTACCTGTACGAATAACGTATCTGACCAATCACCTCTACCTTTCTCAAGCAAATGCCCGCATTCACTAACCTGGAATTAGAGCAGAGCTTAAACCATCAGTAAAAATTCACACTAAAACAGTATGGCCAATATTGAAGCAAGTTTAAAACAGTAGGAGAAAAACATACCGCACAAACTGCAGAGCATCGCACGGTATCCTCATGGTCAAACAGAAGCTCAACGGCACGAAAATAACAGCCTTGAACAAGATTCTCATCTTCAACCACAATGCACTTACACAATCCAGACAGCCCGTCCAAAGCAGCGCTACGGATGTTCGGATACGGATCCTTAGTAAGCCCGAACAGAACCGTAAACAGTACAGACGGCCTTATCACAAACCTACTCACATTCCGCACCAGCCAAAGCCTGACAGAGACACATGGCCGGAAAACAAGCGAGAGGAAGGCCGATTCGCTGTTGACGTCAGCGGCAGAGAGGGAGAGGAGAACAGAAAAGGAGTCGGCAAGGGAGCGAGTGGGCGTGGAAGGAAGGAGAGAGAATGAATGTATGGCGGTTATGATGTCTTGTCGTAGGCTAGGGTGGCGGCGAGAGAGGAGGTGGAGGGCGGAGAGGACGGCGCGGTGGTGAATGTGGGGGTGGCTTGGATTTTGGAGGGAGAGGGTTAGGGTTTTGAGAACAGAGGAGAGGGAAGAACGGGTGGTGGACGGGTTGCTGACGAGGGAAAGAGCAAAGCTTAAGGCCTGGAAAGGAAAATGTGAATCCAGTTGGTTAATGGCCGCCAATTCAAATTCTGTCAAGAGCTGTTTTTCCATGGCCGGATTCAATCAGGCGACTGCCAAGCCGCCTTTGTTGGGAGGAAAATTGTGCCTTTAGCTCCTTCCACAAACTGTTTCTTTAGCTTCACCCTTTTGAAAATGCTATCTAAAGTACGGTATAAATTTTACTACAGGTTACAACACAAAACAAAAATTGAAAACCACAGAGAAGCAAGCTTATACCTGGGTCAAACGGATAGATGGAGTAGACGACGCAGAGAGAGAGAGAGAGAGAGAGAGAGAGAGAGAGTTGAAGGCTGGAATCTCGTTGAATCGCACTATCGGAAGTTGGAATTGCAGCCTTGCCTCGCACCCGCCGGCACCGTGGCGACCAGGCATTGCAGATTAGCAATCGCAGTACTGGATGCGGTTGGTTACGGGAGCCTGGGAGGTAGTAACAAAAATAGGATTTTCATTTTTATTCCAGAAATAAGACTTCGCACTGTGGTAGTGTGGCACTGCACATGTGAACATTACTCCGGGTACTATACTCTTTGATAATATACATGACCATGTTTGGTAATGTAAATGCATTTTAACTCTTATTTCGAGAATAAAAACACGGAAGTCCTATTTTAATATATTTTCAATTTTTATTCCGACTTTTGTCTTTTTCCCAATTGTAATAGAAGGGAGATAAAATAAGATCATAAGTAGAAAAATTATGTTTGGATATTTATTAGATAATTTGAGATAAAAATAATAAAATTATTTAAATATCTTGTGCTTGATTTTCTTTATGACTTTATACATAAAATTATGTGTTTGAAATTGTGTTTGTACATAAAATTATATTATTCTAATTACGTAAAATAATATTTTGATAATTATTTATAAGGTAAATGTAATAAAACAAATGTGCATCAATTTCAATCATTCTACTTCAACAAACAATAACAAAAGTACAAGAAAAAAATTTTAACATCAATTTCAAACATTCTATTTCAACAAACAAAAAAATACAGAAAAAAATTTTGCATCAATTTCAAACATTCTACTTCAACAAACAGTAAAAAAATACAATTTCTTTGCATCAATTTCAAAGATTCTATTTCCAACAAAAAAAATACAGAGAAGAAAAGAAGAAGAAGAAGAAGAAGAAGACTTTACCTAGGTTTCTCGCAGAATCGACGGACGCATATTTTTAACTGTTACAAGGTTACGTAACCTCCCTCCACCCCTGTTTACCTATCTCAATTTCCTCTCCCGAACAAGGTAGATTTTAATTCTTACCTACTCAATCCGTTCTCAAAAACACTTCCTCTTTTATTTTTTCCACTTCCAACAAAACACTTCCTCTTTCTATTAAAAACCACTTTTACCCTTACTTTTTCATACCCTACCTACCACATCATACTTTTTCTCTAATAATCTATCCATCACATCTTACTTTTACCCATCACATCAAGGGCAAAATTAGAAATCAGCTATAATTTAATACTTTCTTATTTTTGCCCCAAATCAAAATGAGAATTTTTTTTGCAAACAGAGGGAGTATATCATAGCCTCATGGCATGGATGATTCCAATGGAAAAACAAAACAAAACAAAAAAAGAAAGAAAATGAGTAGCATCTACGAGGCTTGTAGAAAAGTTAAATTAGATTATAGGGAGAACATCTTAGATATGAGTAAGAAGATCAATAAAATATTAATATAGAAATCATAAGTCTTTTAAGACTAAAATAGGAGTTCACATTGTCAATTACTCTATTCGTCCTAAAACATTTTTTAGGACAAAGTTACTCCCTCCGTCCCATTTTATAACGCCTGTTTCGGTTTACGATGTTTGACTGAAGTTATTTTCAAATCATTTTATATGACAGATGGTATAGAGTTAAAAAATAAAAATTACATATCAAAATACAACATCAAAAGATCTACAAAACTAGTAGTGACAACAATATTTTATTTTATCAATTTGCTAACGAAAATAAAGAAAGAAAGTGAATGAAGTTTGACCCTGTGAATAGTGAACATACATTATAATTTAGGACGGAGGGAGTAGTATTTAGGATAATTTAATAATGAGAAATATCTCTTTGGACCACTTGGTACCAAAATACTACCTCCGTCCCAGAGTATTTGTCCACTTTCATTTTACACACCATCCAATACATTTCTTTAATCCATTTTATCTTGTTATTTGTATACTAAAAAATTATAGAAATTATATATTAATAATCTATATGTTAAGACAAATCAAACAAGATCACACATGACTATATTTAGGCTTACACATTGAGAGAATTTGATGAATCAAAGTGCTTAGATGAACAGTTCCAAAAGTCAAAACTGGACGAATATTCCGGGACAGAGGGAGTATCAATCTAGGTGGAATTAAGAGCATCTCAATTTCTTATACTCCCTCCGTCCTAAAACTTTCTTCCCACTTCCCCTTTTTCTCCGTCCTAAAACTACCTTCCCATTAGAAAAAAAAAATGACAAATGACATTAATACCCTCATGTATTTACACCAATTATCTTCTAACTCTATATTTTGAATGATTGCAGAAAAAAATTGCAAAAAACCTTTTTTAAGGAGGGTAAAATTTGAAGTCAAAGCCAAAAATTAAAAATGGGGAAAAGTCAAACCGAGAAGAAAGTTTTAGGACGGAGGGAGTATCATTTAAAACAATATAAATAGATTTTTTATAATGTATTGATGAGCAATGCTAGGGGTACACCAAAAGGTGTACCCCAAATGTACACCACCCCATTCTCCACCACACATTTTTATTTGATTTTTATTTACTTATTTGTTTAAAATTTTTTTTGCCTTTTTTAGTGGACAAGGAGGGGGTGGAAGACATATGGGGTACACCTTTGATATACCCCTAGCATTGTTCTGTATTGATATGGATCAGTGTGCAAGCCCATCTCAATCATTTCATTGTCAACATTTTCAATTTTATTCAATAATGTTGTCATCACCCTCATCTTCTAAATTGAGCTCTGCGAGAAATTAAAATGTTTACAAACGTGATAAAATCAACTAGGTAGCACTATGACAAATTCCATATTTTATACTCCCTCCGTCCCTTTATATTCGTCCACTTTTGACTTTTGGAACTGTTCATCTAAGCACTTTGACTCATCAAAAATTCTCTCAATGTGTAAGTCTAAATATAGTCATGCGTGATCTTTTTTTATTTGTCTTAACATATAGATTATTAATATATAATTTCTATAATTTTTTAATATACAAATTACAAGATAAAATGGATTAAAGAAGTGTATTGGATGGTGTGCAAAAATAAAAGTGGACAAATATAGTGGGACGGAGGAAGTACCTCATTTTCTTTTTTACCACGACTCATTTTCCCTTTAACCCCTACTAAATTTCCATTGAGGCGTTGACTAGGCTTCCAAACACTTGAAAAAAGAGAAGATAGCCTCAAGAAGTCATTTCCTCCCTTTCCAAATGGATCCTAATAGTACGCCTAAAATCAGGATAATTTTGTGTTTCTCATTTTTTCCTTCTCAATACGAATGCAACTTCAAACCCTTGCTTGCACATTGAGAGATCTCTCTCAACCAACCACGCTAATGAGCAGTCACTCACCCAAAATTAGTGTAGCTGTGATGAAAGTTTTAGGTTACATTTTACATTTGAATTCATCTCGACCAAACATCAAATATATAGCAAAAAAAACTATACTTGAACCACACTCAGAATTACGAGTCTCCTCCGAGAAATATGGCCGACCCAAAGCACCTCATTCCTATGGCTCCGGAGCTCTTCTCATGCCAACCTTCACCTTCCTTGTAAACTTCAACCTGTCAATCACAGTATAGCAGCAGAGGGGACGATAATGTCATTACAGTTTTACATGAAGCCCCCCATGTAACCCGAAGCTTGAAATCAAATGAATTTTTTTAACACGTACCGTTTCTACAATGTCCTCTCCACATCTCACCCCTCCAATTGCAAAAATGGAGTCCTTCATAACTGCAGCTGCTAAATATCCCCGAGATTGGTTCATTGCCTGTCCCGGCATCCATTTCCCCAAACGAGGATCATACACTTCAGTGCTTGCCACCATTGCAGATCCATCAAACCCACCTATTGCATATCTGCATTTCATTACTCAAATCAGTACAACGTTCACGCTTTTCTTGTGATTTTTTTGTTACATGATGATCTTTATAATTCCGTGTCTATAGTAAGAGAGAATGCAACCTCAATTTGCAGGGTGGGGGTAAGAATGGAAATAAGAAAAGAACATACAACTTTTCATCCATAGTAACCAACACATGACAGCCTCTTTCCGTACTCATACTCTCAATCCTTGTCCAGCTATGCTCCCTGGGGTCAAATCTTTCAGCAGACCTGGAATATATATATCTATCAAATCATTCTCGAGGTGCAACAAATTTGACAGGAGAAAAAGATCCAAAATTTTTTAGAACAATAGAAACCATCTTATTATGGGGTGATAGGGTTCCTATTTTCTCATCATACAAGGGATGAATTGAAGTTTTTTGCATGGTACATTTTTATAAGAAGCAATAATACCCTTACAGAAAAGATCGTGGTTTAAGGGGTTTGTTTGGACCCTAGAAAATACTGGGTAGGAAAAATATGAAGGAACAAGGAATATAGAGAAAAATCAAAAGGAAATAAAGTTTAGGGGAAAATAAAAGCCATGCTCAAACAAAATAAATTCATGTCAAGATATTTTTTTTCAAACTCATTGTATTTATTTATTTTAAATTTAAAAGAATGATAGATACCATATTCCATTTTTACATTGTATTTTTCATGGCAAACAAGGTATAAGAAATAAATTCCATTGGCACTTTTTTTTCTTTACCATTATTTTCTGAAATTTAAGCTTACCCTAAAAAACTGTCACTGTAAATGGAGCCATGGTTCTAAAAAAAATGGGTACAGAAAAGTATTGTTTGCATACTTCAAATAGTTGACTCCATCATATCCACCAACAGCATACAAGGCACCATTGAGCTCAGCACCAGCAAGAGCAAACCTCTGGACAACAACAAATATATCAAAACATAAAAAAGTAAATAATGGAGCCATAACTTACCACAGAGGCACAGATAGTAAAATGCAATCACAGGTGTTTTGTATTAAAAAGTATAAACAATGCAAAGAAATTTTAACATTACAGATGTAGGAAATCAAACTAGTCTGTTAGAGGTACAGGGTGCTAATTCATATAATTACACTATGTATTTAGACTTTAGAGTTAAAATACCAAGGAAATGTGAAATATGATTTTTTGGGACAAACCAACAAAAAACTAGGAAGTTCATTTTGGGACATAGATAGTACAACGAGTTCGAACATTATCTTGAAATGAAT